TATCTTAAGAAATCAACCTGGAATATTTTCCCACTAGTCACTAATAAATTTCATTAACTATATCAACAGAAATCCAATTTGGCAATTAAATTATTTTACTGAAAATCCTTTATTTGCTGGAAAGAAGAAATGCAGTTTTTGCCTACATCACATAGCCTGAGCAACTCTCAAGAAGTAATTACTTGTCTCTACAGAAAGCCTCAGAACTGGAAAGGTCAGAGACTGAAAACTTCACCATTTATAAGGGATTTCACATATATCTCATTTGATCAAAACATAACCCTGAAATATGTCAATGTAATTTTATGCCTTTTCCTATGGAGAGACTAGAGTCTCTTTATAAGGAGTTTAAGCAATTTCTAAGAAGTCCCACAGATAAGAGACAGAGCCCAAATTCCTTTTCACTACACCACAATTTCCTCAGCTGTCAAAGAAGGTTGTACTTGGTGAAACTGAAATTGCTTTTATAATGTATAGAAAGTGAAACACATACTTGTCAATGCATACTATGTGATTTAATTCATTGGAGGGTCAAAGTCCATTGTTCTCTTTAATACAGAAAAGACATGAAGGGCAAACTTTCCTCACCACACTGAGACACTAAAATGCCTTAGAGAAAAGTATTGCATACACTCCCATCGTTGGTGCCCCAAGAACTGCTCTCTGCCCACGTGGTCCTTTCCTCAACAAATGAGTGACAGCACAGGTCAACACTTTGATGCTCTCTCTTCTGCGATGAAATTAACTGCATTTCTTCTTCAAATATCAATACTATATTATTTTAAGTTTAGCACTTTGTTGTTCTTAAAAAGTCTTCAGAGACTTTTCTTCAGATCCCAACCTGTTCTTGGTTTTTGTGCTCTTCTTACCAGATGGTGAGGCTCCAGATTTAGATCTACCTCAGCCTAGTGCTCCAGAACTCTCCAAGAGCCTATCTTTCTAAGTGTTGTTTTACTCACTGGGGCCTGTACAAATAACTAGATTTCTGCTTGGACTCCTGCATAATTTACCTGAATAAAGTCCTAGCCCATTTAAGCCTGGGACTTAGCATAGTTTCTCCCTATATCCCTGCTACCTGGAGTTCAGCCCCACCACAATAGATGGAGCCCAATTCCTTGCAGGAATAATTCTGTGATACTGTATACTTGACTGCATGCTAAACATCCCACCATAATGTTTAACCTCCTGCATAAAAAATAATTCCTCTCAAATTTAATGCTGAGCTCCCCCCAATGCTAACAGCTTCAAGACAACAGCAATATGATTTACTGTGCCCAGGAGTTTGTAAAGTGCTTTATTTGTGTTATCTCATAGCAATACTGTAAGAAAAATAACATTACTATCATTTTACAGATAAGTAAACTAAGGCTTGGGGAAATTGAGCACTTACTAAATTACATAGCTAATAAGTTGAAGATTTGAACTCAGGTCTGTTAAATTTTAAAATCTGTATCTTAACTAATCAACTACACATGTTAACTATCTCCCCTGTCTTTCACCATATCCTTCCTGTAAACATTAAATAGTGTTAAATGGCCTAAAATAACTGTACCATCTGTGATTAAATCCCTGCTTTCCACTGTGCCATCCCAGCGGGTGAATGGAAGTTCATGTTCCAGGCTCTCCCAGTCATTAAACCCACCACCATTAACCAGGACATGCACAGAATCATCCCAAGATATGATATGTCATCTATGCAAACCACCCAATTATCTATGGAATTGAGAACAAGTAGATCCCAAATCCCTCTCTCCAGATGAGGGTAGCTGAGACATAGATAATTACTTTGACTAAACTGGGTTCAATAGAACTAGCCAGTTACAAAACTGTGGCCAGACCCAGTTTTCCTGTTGCAGACATGAAAGCACTGTACATTGAACTCCCCTCAAATGCACCTCAGCTAGGCAAGGAATATAGAAAGGACACATACTGAGTTTGATCCTTCTCTGTGCCGAAGTGCATGGAAATTCAGTTCTGTGTGATTGCTAGGAGCTAGGATGCTGTATTCCCTGCTTCACCTTTAGTCACCACCTCTTTGTCCATAGTAACCCAAGTACTAGGACAATAATCTATTCAGTGTAAGAAGCTGTCACATTCAATGATCCAGAGCCTGTGATACAATAGATTTGAATGACATTAGATAATTAATGGAAGGAGAGAAACAAAGGAATTAACTACCAATGAGGTAAGATCCCCAGATGGCTCTGAACAGAAATTGGGAAAGGAAAGATTCTGTTAATGGGATTGAACCACTTGCAATAGTTCAATCCCATTGAACAATTACATTGGTAAAGTAGGTTTTCCTTCAATGTTAACCTAGCTTTCCAAAACTAATTTTGGCTGAGCCATGTCAACATTTGACACACCTCAGGGTTGCTGAAACAATCCACAGCATTGAAGAGAACCCAATAAACATGGAGGCGTCTGTTCAACCCTTGCCATTTTTCAGTAACAAATCCGAAGAGGACAAGAAACGTCCTGAGACCACTTATTTTGTACCCTTCTTGACCTCCACTCAGGTCCTCAGGGTGGTATAGAGCCTTGAGTAGAAAGAAACTCAAGGATCATCTTTTCTAATACCTTCATTTTTCAGATAATACAACTGATGTACAGAAAGAACAAATGATTTGCCCAAGGTCACAGAGCGAGTCACTATCAAAGCAAAGATATACCACTGTTTTTTTTTTTTCCTTTCAGGAGTTATTAATTGAAGTTTTTCTTGTTGCTATTTTATATTTCATTAGCAGGTATAAAACTTGATAATTTATGAAATAGGACAAGTGAAAGCAAGATACTATGATAATTATTGTTTTTTTAAAAGTATGAACATCTTCTTGGTGAAAGTGGATGATGAAAAATTGAAAAATCCCATTAGTTATCATTTTCCAGTTGCTTTTTATTTAGAGTATGATAAACTGATTAGCTAATCCATCAAATGTGGAATTTTTCTTTAATTAAAGGTAGGTTATACATTAAAACTCTGATCTGATAATGGAATAGGTCTGAATTCTATGTCCAGAGATAACAGTTGAAATCCAACCTCAAACCTCATCAGCTCTACAACCATACGTGAGTCAATCTTCTGAGCTTCAGTTTGTTTATTCATATTGAATACACCAACAGTTCTAATCTAAGTCTCAGGCTTATAAAGAATACATGAGATAATGATTTAGCAACAATCTATATTCTATATTTTTGGTATTATTAATATTGGTCCCTAATAACAATTCTAGGTACTATATATATGTTTAAATGTATGTGTGTGTATGCATTACCTATATATTGATTTATGTATGTACTTATATATGTGTGTAGGTATGTGTATTAATATAAATTTTTAAATGTTTTTCTTAGTTATCATCATACATACTAACAGGACTCATTTTGACATAACCATACATGCCTGGAATATAATTTGCTCCACTTCAGTCTCTGTATTTCCTCTTTTCCTATTCTACTGGTCTTCCTTCTACTTATTTAATTTTTTTTAACTGGTGCTTTATAGATATACATAAAGGTGAAATTCACCATGGTATATTTGTATATGTACAAAGCATAATTTCACAGTTCCTCCCTTTTCTCACTTCTTCCTCTCTATCCCCTTCATCTTCTCCACTACTCTCCCTCTGGGTTCTCAGGATCCCTCACATTTTTTCTTATTTGTGTTATATATATTATATGTCATACGTAGGTTATGTATATTATATACACATATGATATGTAAGCATACAATATGTATTAGCATATATGTTTACATATGTATTATTATGTTATACATATACTATATTCATGTGTATTTGTGCCTTAACTCTCTGAACCCAGCTTGATTCAGTTCTATTGTTTAACATAAATGCACTCTTGTAGGGCCATTATACCTGGTCTAATTTTACTACCTATGGACTGTGATCTGTTTCCTTGGTTCTTACATGCATCTGCTAGGGTTCACACACCTCACATGCATTACAGTTATGTACCTCCCAGGCCTGTGGCCCTTAAGGCTTAGTATTATTTTTTCCAGTATTCTGTTTAGTTATTTACGTTTTACATGATTTTCAAAGGAATATAATTTTGCCTTTGCTATTGTTTATTTTTTTTAAGATCTGCCCTAATTTTTGTTGGAAAATACACATGTATCTTTCCCTATTGGATTCAAGTACGAACCCTGAATATAAAACCTGTGATTTAAAAGGCTTTACTCTGGGGATGTGGTCATTTTACTGAGCCTTTAATTTATAATGAGACAGGCATAATCAGCTATAATCCTCTGGGTGTACACAATATACAACTAAATTACGGGTTCAAGATTTGAGGAAGTGCCATTTTCATGCTGAACTACTATGAACATTGAAAGTAAATGAAAAAAGTGGCAAACTTAGAAAAGGAGAAAGTTTCTCAAGTTACTACATGGAAGACTGGAACAAAGGACCAGTATGGGGTGGGAAAACATTGTGAGTCAATAAATTATTAAATGACCTCTTTCATGTAGAATATACCTTTTATTTACAAAGCTTATTTACCATATCTCATTTTATCCTCACAACACTTCTAGAGAGGAAGTCAATAGGGATCTTTCTCATTGTGCAAACAGGTCTCTAATGCTTGGGGAGGTTCATTATTTTGAGTTCCTCTGTGTAGAAACTGGAAAAGTCCAGACAACTAGCTAAGATCTCTTTCTGAAATATAAATTTTATTTCCCAAGACTGAGTATCAGTTGCTTCATTACTTTTTTGTGTTCTCAGAGCATCTTATTTTAAAATTATCAAATAATTCTGTAGGATTCCACAAGTGAAATGTTATATCTCCATTTATGCAGTCTACTAATGGTACCTAATGTACACACAGACTCTTTAGCAACTTGCAAAACCTCAGGGACCCCTCCTCACCATAGGAACTTGATCCCCTTTGTTGAGAATTCCCTTTGTTAATGTGGGTTGCAAAATGGCCTATTTGAAAGGAGCCTGTCTCAATTGCAAGATCTTCCTCAGCAAAGGATTTATTACCTCACATAACAGGAAGTCCAGAGGTGGAGCAAGTCTCAGGCTTGGGTGACTCAGCTGCCAGGTTTGCATTATCCTTTGCAGGGGCCAAATGGCTTCAGCAGCTCTAGGCAGCAAGTCCTAAGAGAAAAAGATCATCTCTTCTTTAGGCATCATTGTAAAAACGAAGAACCTTTCCCAGAAGTCCGTGGCAGATATCCCATTGACTTGTGTGGAGTTTAGAAACATCCTGAACTAGTTACTAGCAAAGGAAATAGGATTTTTTTTTTTTTTACATCAATCAGGCCCAAACTGGAGTTATGGATAAGGTCAACTTCTACAGAGGGACAGTGATATGAAATAGATGAATGGAGAAAAAAAATCACCTGCTTTTAGGAGGAGGGTAGAATACATGCTGAAAAGGGAAACAACAGTGCTGGCTAGAAGTCAATATATGAGCATTATCAGTGGTATAAGTACAGGACCCACATGAAGAATGCTCAAGTAAAGTCCCAATATTAGATGATGGAATCTCTTTTATTGCAACACTTTTCTCAAGAGCCAAGAAGTGGAAATAATCTAAGTGTGTGTCAACTGGTGAATAGAAAAGAAAATGTGATATAGACGCAATGGAATGCCATTCAATCTCTCTCTCTCTCTCTCTCTCTCTCTCTCTCTCTCTCTCTCTCTCACACACACACACACACACACACACACACACACAATGCTGTCATTTGTAACTGCATGGATGAAACTGAAAATAATGATGATAAGTAGAATAGCCCAGGTAAAGAAACAGCATGATCTTACTCCTATGAGAAATCTAAAATGTTGATCTCATAGAAGGTGAGAGAAGAATAGTGATTCCTAGAGGCCAGAAGTAGGAGGGAGAGAAGGACAGAATAATGTTGATTGATGGGTACTAAGCTATAGTAGGTAGGAGAAATGAATCAATACATAGATTCCTTTAAAATGGAAGCCAATATCTGACATTTTAGAGTGACAAAGAAATAAATAGGTTTTCGTGGTTTGTTAACTTGAATGGCAGAAAATTATTTTTAAAAGATGCAAGAATTACAATAATAGCATATTATTTCTAGCAGTTTGTTATTTTTAGCATATTATTTCTAGTAATTCCATCATCTAATATTGAGACTCTATTACTCTAGCAAAAGTCCATTAATCAATTTAACAAACATTCACCAACCAAGTGCTATATGCTGGGAAGTGTTCTAGACATTGGGTATCAATCACTGAATGTGTATTGTGCAGTTAGGGGAAGACAGATATGTAAATTATAATATCACATGTCTTTGCCTATACTGCACAAAATAGTATGAAAGGATGGACCAATACATTGGGTTAAGGTTGTAAATGACTACCTATGTATATGATAATAAAACATGAATAAGAGTAATAAATAAATGTGCATGGACTTTCATCTTACAAGCAGAATGAAGACTCTTTATTGTTGACTCCATTGTGCACAAATGACTTCAACACCCTTAAGACTGTATTCTCTTGTTAAAAGCAGGATTGCATAAAGACTGAGATTGGAAACATGTCTAGTTTCCCAAGGGCAGCTCTAACAAGACTAGTGACATTAACAAATAACTAACTACAAGCCAAATTTGCTAAAGACATGAAAGACAACTCTCCATAAAGAATACTCTCATAGTTTAAAAATGGAACCCAAAGCTTAGGAAGTTAAAATTAAAATAATAAATACGAACTCTTGGATAAAATACTTAGATACTTTGTGAATAAAATTTTACTTAACTATCAGAAAGCCCCTGAGATGGTATTATTTTTATTAGTAGTATATTATCACTATCATTTCTATTTTTTGAGATGAGGAAACTGAAACTTAGAGGACGTTAGGCAATTTGTCCCAGCTGTATAAGTAATGACAGATGAAAGACTGAACTCAGTCTTTTGTCTCCAGAGCCATATGTTTAATCATTCAAGTAGTTCCAAAATGTGGTCTCTGGACTATCTCCATCAAAATCACCTGGAATGCTTATTAATAATGTAAACTCTTTACCCCATCCAGGCCTCTGAATGAGAATCTCTGAGATGGCCCCAAGAATAGTATATTTCATTGCAATTTTTTTTTCATATTACACAGTAGTCCACTGCTAAGCTAGTCTGTCTTTTTGACATTTAAGACATCATTATGGAAAAAAGTTTAAAATCTTACTAATGAACACACATGAACAAAAACTTCTCAAATTTATCTTATCTAAAGCCTTCAAAATATAGATAGTGAAACCCATGAAAGTTTAGAACTTAAATTTTATTTTAAAACCCACTATTAAACCATGGATAGAAGTATCAGCCTGATATCGGAGATGCTTGACTCTTTTCTTCTCCATTCTGACTCTAAGGGGGTCTACGTCTCTGCAATATCAGGTTCACTACACTTAAGGTCTATCCTTAGTAAGGAGGATCCTGAGATACACTCAGGAAAACAAGTTTCCCAGAAGACACATGGTGAGAAATGATTAAAATATGGGAGACCCTGATAAACAGTTTGAACACAGGTTTTGGATACAAACACTTGAATCCAAAGAAACTCAAATAGATTCAAACACACTTGATTTTCTACTCAACTTTTAGATTTGTTAAAACTTCGGCATTTTCTGTAAATGTGCAATTTTCCATTGGCTAAATGGCAATAATAGAAATGTCTATCCAGGTTTTGCTGTGAAGATTAATATACTAATAAATCAAGCATTTTACCACAGTGCTTGGTACATCAGGGGTGTTCAATAGGTACTGATTTTTTGTGGGGTGGGTACCAGGGATTGAACTCCGGGGCACTCAACCACTGAGCCACATCCCCAGCCCTATTTTGTATTTTATTTAGAGACAGGGTCTCACGGAGTTGCTTAGTGCCTCGCTTTTGCTGAGACTGGCTTTGAATTCTCAATCCTCCTGCCTCAGTCTCCGGAGCCACTGGGATTACAGGCGTGCTCCACAGTACCCGGCACTAACTGATATATTATCATCACTGGTAACACCAGCATCACATGGCTGAGGAAATGTCCATATGGCTCCTCTCTAGGATCACAGATCATAAAATCTGGGGAGTATTTTAGAGATCTCTAAATTTGATCCAATGTAGCCCAGTTTCCACTACCTAAGACTAAAGTTTCCTCAAATATTTTAACTTGTTTGCAACCTTGAATATTTAAAAAAAAAATTAAGTGCTTTCACAAATCTCAAACTAAATTTTTGAATATACTTAAATGACAACATAGGCAGTAACTACTTAAGTGGGATATGTAGTATTTTGAATCTGCAGCCAATAGACACCACACCACAGATCTTTTTTTCTTTTTTTTTTTTTTTTTTGGAGGTACTGGGGATTGAACCCAGGGGCACTTTATCCCCAATGCTTATTTTCTTATTTTACTTTGTATTTTGAGACAGGGTCTCATTAGCATTGTCCAGGTAGGCTCAAACTTGCAATCCTCCCACCTCAGCATCTCAAGCCACTGGAATTACAGACTTGCATCACCACACTCAGCTGACATCTTGTTACTTAAGATATTGTTTATATTCTTCACTGCTGGGCTGGGATGTAGCTCAGTAGCAAAGCATCTGCCTTGCATTTGCAAAGCCCTAGGTTCGACCCCCAGTTCCAAAAAAAGACAAAAAAAAGAACCCCACCAAAAAAAAATAAGATTAAAAAAAACCTATATTCTTCACTGCTTAGAAATTATAGTAATTATTCAAGGGTTTGTTAACAGATTAAAGAACAAGCAAATGCATGACTTGATCACAAACTTGTAATTCAGTGATCACTGTGTTTAAATATGATTGATTTACTTGAATTCCAAGGCATTTTATATTATGTTTTTACAAGCATTTTGAGAAGGAAACAGGATGTGTCACCACACTGCCACAGGTGTCACTGGAGCATACACAAGAAGCTGAAGGACCCCTGCTCTATAGCCTTATCAGAATGTGGCCCAGCAATCTGCTCCTGCACCTCAGGGAGCCTCACATCTCCAGAGGAAATCTAGGTGGAGTTTGAAAAACACAGTCAACAAAGTCCACTTGGTTACAGAAGCAAAGATCACTGTGTGAACCACCCATCATCTTAAAATGTAAATTAATGATACATTCCTTAGAAAAACATCTGAGTTACCAGCCATGAAAAATACTAACACAAGCAAAAGAATTTCTAACATTTAAACTACCTATTGATAAAATTAATCAGATTGTATTCAGTTTCATATGGTACTCTGTCTACAGACCACTTTCTTATAATTTAAGTCAGATATTACTGTACTGTTGTTTATAATCATCACTTGCCCAGCTTTTAAAAAAAGGAGGGAATAAAGGAATCAGCTTTCAATCATTCTAGCCAAACCATTTTCTCTGTGTAAGACATATGGTTATTTAAAAATTGAATTTTCATTTGTTTCAAATTATTTTATTTATATATAAATTAATATACAACACATTATATATTAATTATATAAATAAATATATAACATATATTAATTAATATATGCATCTATATTAATTATTTATATATGTAAATAAAAAGACATTTGTAAAATTGCAATACTCCATCATTCAGATAGCAAATGTTTTCATCTCCTCAGAATTAGGAGGCAATTATCAAATCCTTGACATAACCAAGGACAAGGGAGGTTGAGTTGTTGGTTAAGCAATGTGCGAATCCAAGGCACTCCAACTTCCAATTTAATGCTGTCTCCAGCACACAGTGTTATAGGACTGTTGGAATCGGGGGAGATAGAGAAAGGGAAAGATGGGACTGGGGAGAGTAGAGGAAGGAAGAATGAATAATTTTACACTTAACAAAGCAATTTCATGTAATCTCTTCTCATTCCACCCCCTGCCTCCCAACAAAGAGACCTAGGTAATATCATCAATATTTTCTTGATAAGAAAACACAAAAGATGTGTTTAAGTGATGTGGCCAGATTCATATGGCTGCAAAGGGGCAGGACCAAGATTTGAGCTCAGGAAAGCAAGTGAAGAAGCAGCTAGTGGCACCACCTTCCTGATGGAAAGAAACAATCATGATACTGCAAGATTCCTGTATTTCAAAGCTTTGAGGGATAAGTTCAGGTTTTTGAGGTCCATCTGGGTCTGACTCACCGA